CGCTACCATTGACATGAAAAAACCTAACTTTATATACAAATTTTTTTATTTTTTTATAGAATAGGGTGACAAACGAGCACACAGTCCACCTGATGGTAAGTGGTTGCTGCGGCCCATAGACATCTACATCTATCTTCCATTACAAATCAAAATGCAGATGCGTTGTCACCCGCGAGGACTGAGATGGAATGCCTCATTTCCAGTAAAAAGGGTCTCCGGTTCTCTACACTCACCATACGAAATACAGCAGCATTAAGCTACTATTTCACGCTGGTATTCTGTGAGAGCGTGGTCCTTCCCCGGTCGAGCCGACCCATTCGTGCTACAACTATACTACTAATATAACTGCAGCATGGCTCTACCACGTAAAAAAAATAATATATACTATTGTATTGTATTGTATATTGGGATATTAGTATTATATATATATATATATATATATATATATATATATATATATATATATATATATATATATATAATACTAATATCCCAATTATTTACTCACCGCCAATGAGAGAGACATATAATCTGCCTCCTCGCTGCCAATTAAGAGTTAAATTACCAGTCAACTTATTAAATGGTGAAGCTAAAGTAAATTACATACTTTATATGTTAATAAATATAGAAAAATATGCCAAATTGATTTTCCCAGCAAATAAGGAAAATTTAATTAAGTTAGAAAGAAATATAGTAGTTAAATCGTATGTCAATAGGAATAACTTAGTTTTTGTATTAGATATCCCACTAATTGAACCAGACATATACACATACTACAAAATAATACCAATTCCAATATCTAATTCCGATGTTACCCATATCATAATCCCATCATATCCTTTCCTATTGGTGAAAAGATTGAAATACCGATCAGCGGTGATTCCCTGTGAAGAAATCGACGATGAAAAGTTCTTATGCCCAGAGGAAAGTCTCGCAGAGTATCCAGCTGAAACATGTATTGAGCAAATAATGCAGATGAAAACCAACCACAGTAGCTGCCAGCAACATAATATACGATTGGAGAATTTGAAAATTCGAGTTCTGTTTCGATTAGAGGACTTCAAGAACTATTGGCTACTCGATACCACTAAGGACTTGATAATAACTGAACACTGTCCAGAACATGTACAAAAATACCAAGTGCAAGGCACATATATAATGATACCTAATCAAGAATGCAGAACACAGGTTGGAGACACGTTCATCAACGCTCCGAGGTACCTTGCGAATATCAAACTTCAACTTCCCACAATCGAGATGCCAACCGTACGAGAGGATGACATCAAGAAAGAAGCAAAACAGTTAGATTTAAGAAACGTGGACTTCAGTAATATAAAAGAACTAATAAATAGTGCTAAATTCAGTGATAACGAAATAAATACAAAATTCTTAGTAACAAGTGAAATCAGTGTATGGACCATAAGTTCATATTATTCTCTCATTATAGTAATCTGTATAGTATTTGCCATTTTTAAATTCAAATTATGTTATCGAAATTCCCCGAAGTCGCTTGAGCCACCTTCGGATAATTTCTCTCTTGAGGGGGGAGGAGTTAAGGCTGAGCACTCCTGCCAAATCTCATTCGTTCGCACATCATCAGCAAACCCATCTGGGTCAAGCGTATGCAGTAAATAAGCTTAGTAAATAATTTTGTTGATGTAATTTAAGTATAAATAAACAATTGTAATCAGTTAATATCGAATATTGTAGTAATAAACTTCTTACTGTAACTGTGCCCAAATAAATAAAATACAAAAATTTTTTATTGAAGTCTGGTTCATTATCTTAATTCACGCGTTTGTGGCCCTGTATGCGGAATCTATTAGGGGGTAATCTGTGTTTTAAATACACGTTCGGGGTCGCTAAAGATGTCGTAACTTACAAAATCTCAATTTAGATGTGATAACAATATCTAAATATTGATATTATTCACACTTCTAGGTCAGCACATATGTTTTGTTTTTTGTTTCTGAATTTTCTGAATATTGTCTGTGGTTCCTATAAACATCGTAAAATCTTACGGTACATCGCGAAAAATGTGTTATATTTTAGATTTCAATTTATGGTAAGTAACGCAGCAATTCACTTAATAAAATTAAAAAAAAAATATTTGAAGCAATATAATCACCATATTGAGATTTTGCAAATTCATCCCTTTAAAACAAACAAAACGCGCGTTACGTCAGTTTGTTCTAAAAGAAACGTGACAATGGCAGCCAGAGATGCGTCACCTTTTTTGGGCCGGTCCGCATGCACCGAATAAAAATAAAGTTATTATATAATATTGAAAGTACGTACTTATTCGGTGTCGTTATCACTCGAATCTTTATATGTGTTATAAATTAATGCTTTTGTTGTTAAATGAATAAAGTACTTTATAACAATAGATGATTTTTCTTCTACAGCGATCTTTTAGATAACTTTTAATAATAGTTAATAAATATATATTATATTAATCATTATAAAAATAAATAAAAAAATATTATAAATAAAGAAAGTACTACATATAAAATGTGCCTATATATTGAGGTTTGTTTAAGGTTTGTAACCCCCCGGTTAAACGACCGAAAGGTCATTGTCCGTTTTTCTCAATCGATTTGGTACATACTATAGTCAATGTGTTGTCCGAAAGTATGCGGTAAGTACATAATTAAGAAAAACCGACACTACGGGTTTTAAGTGATTGACCGGTCGAAGTAGTCTTGCGAGAATTTACACACACCTGCTATTGGGCACACAGGAACGTTTTATTTTTTTTTTTCTTAATTATTTATGCAATTTGCATTACGGTACCTTGTAAAACTCACAAGAACAAACAGTTTACAATTCAGTTACGTGAAGTACTTTACGTACGATGCGCCAATTCAAAAAAAAATCGATGTCAATTCAATAATATTTCTTTAATGAATAACTTTACAGAATTTAAAATCTATACTAATATTATAAAGAATTCGTTACAAACATACAAAAAGATTATTATTTTTGTATGTTTGTAACGAATAAAGTACAGAATTTATAATCTGTAGGAACTAATATTTATAATATTTGTTCCTACAGATTATAAATCATTATTATAAATAAGAAAGATTTAATAAAGAAGCAAGCAATGCTCTCTGTTATTCATTACTCTGCATACCGAGCTAGCGCAATCGTACGGCTAACGCACGTGATGTTCGATAGACAGCGCGAGGTTCGCCACGGAACTAGCAAGGTCATTCGCTTCGTATTCGGCCTTAACTCGACAGGTTCGCAAGTTAACTCGCTACTGTACTTGTCAAAGTGTACATCGTTCTTAAATGATAGGAGTCTAATACTTATGTATATATTTGCCATAGTTATTTGCAATGATTGACAAGTGGGTTGACTGACAATTACAATTTTTTAGTGGACACAAGAGCACTGGATTGGTCAAACATGTAGTCATTTTAAAATGGAAATATCTCTTCCTCTTAAAAATGCTCACCAAAATACATGAGGCGCACTTAATTATACGGCCTCCCTAAATCTGGTCTATAACTCCCGCCGTCGACCGTGGTAAAGATTAACACTTTTCGACCTAAGCAACACCTTGACTGTAAAGAGAGAAGCTAGAGGACAACCATTTCCCACAGTCAATTGTTTACCAAGAATGCTCCAAGTTATTTGAAAGGTAGATTTGCCCATAACACCACACTGGACAGATGAGTTGACTATTACAAGGCCGTTAAGCTCGCACTGGCAATACTGGTAAATAGCAGTATTTAAGATTTCCTTTCCTTAGATAGCCAGATGGCTCAGCGAAATGCTGATGTTGCTATTTTGAGAAGAGTTTGTTGTATTATACAATACAAGCATTAAATAATAGTGTAATGCTGCTGTGTTTTGTTTGGTGAGTATAGAAAAACAAGAGATCCTTTTTGCTAATGATCCGTCTTAGTCCTCAGAAAACATTTTGATTCTTAATTAAGATATTATCATCACTAGCATCTATTAACCATATATTAACAGAGGAACTAAGCTTTCTAGTGATTTAAGTTTTAATTGGTGTTCAGTAATTAAAGTGTCAATTTTGGTAATTTAATCCGCAGTTTTTATTGTCACAAACCCTAAGCTCGTAACAATATGTAAGTGTCTATGTACCAGGGCTTTCACTCACCATCAGGTGTACTCTGAACTTTTTTTCACACTTATAATAATCTAACGATCCGCCTCGGTTTTGCACGGTTGATTTCTAAATCTCGACAATAGCGCCACTTACCGGGTCCCATTGTGAATTTAAACCATCCAGGGACTCATTCAAGCGCACAAAAAGTTTCGTCAAAATCGTTCAAGCTGTTTTAGCGAGACTAATGGCCAACAATTGATTTTTATATTTATACATATCAAAAAATATATGTGTATATAAGGGGATACTCTAATAATTCATTAATTCATTACAGCCAATCGAAGTTCACTGTTGAAGGTAGGCCTCCCCATAGATTGCCTCATAAGAGGTATGGTTGCCATAGCTGCCATAGCTGCCACGCTTGGCTGATAGGATTTTCTAGTTTATATAAGAAAGATGCAGCCCATCTTCTGGTTTGTTTCCCACAACACATGCGACCACAACTGGACGATATTTGATATTGGATATTCTTACCTTTAAAGTTTTTTTTTATAGGATAGGGTGACAAACGAGCACACAGTCCACCTGATGGTAAGTGGTTGCTACGACCTATAGACATCTACATCTATCCTCGATTACAAATCAAAATGCAGATGCGTTGTCACCCGTGAGGACTAAGATGGAATGCCTCGTTTCCAGTAAAAAGGGTCTCCGGTTCTCTACACTCACCATACGAAACACAGCAGCATTATGCTACTGGTTCACGCTGGTATTCTGTGAGAGCGTGGTCCTTCCCCGGTAGAGCCGACCCATTCGTGCTACAACTATACTACTAATATAACTGCAGCATGGCTCTACCACGTATAAAATAAAGGTTAACTCTAATAATATTAATGTGAAAATCTTTCTTCGACAGGTTAATTTAAAAGCTGGCGAAGGCCCGCACACGGAACCTTTGTCGATGATGAAGCCAACAGTACCCGGGTTTACGTTGCGGCCGTCGCTGGGCTCCGCGTTCCAGCCGCTGCAGCCCGCGTCTCCCGCCCCGCCCGCCACCCCCCACTGACTCCACCCAACCATCACCCAGGTACACAAACCACTTACCGCCAAATAAACTACTACAGTCCTATTACACTCTAAAATACTATTGTTCTTACTTACTTGTGACTGTTCACACGTCTAACTTTACATGTATAATTCTGATTGTGTAGCTATTTATACGACTACCAAATAGACGTCTGTATAGCTTGTGACATCATTGATCAGTATTTTGTTATCGAATGATCAGATTAATCCTGATTTTTTAATGTGTTTTATTAATGTAATGTTTCAAAATGAGACCTTGTATTACTGTTTTGTTTATATATTACAATTCAAAAAGTAAGAAAAAAGTTAAATTTATTAGTTTTTATTTAGTATTTTAATCAAGATTAAGATGTCACATCAAAATTTTAAACTTTACGACGTGTTTCTTTATTTCTATTGAGTAGTAGAATTATGATACATGTGATGAAATATCATTATCAAAACATGCTTAAAAATATGTAAATATTTAACACTGGCAAAATAAACGTTTTATCCATGTCAGTTCTATTTTATAATTTTTTCAAAGATTAAAAAAAGATTACATAAAGACAAAAGATGAAAAATGACTTCTATTAAGCTCTGGGGTAATTTGCATGCTATTATGACGTGAATTAACATTTTTAAAATGTTTGTCCGTCTGACTTTCCTGGCTGTGTGTTCGATGGCTGCACCAACTGTGATTAAACCCAGGAGTGATTCATTTATTTTATCCGAAAACATGTAGGATTTTTTTGAAATTGAAATACTTATAAGTTAAGTAGTCTTTTATGATTATCTCATTAACTATAAGAGATATAAAAAAAAAGAATTTGAACAAAACTTACTTCATTTAAAGTGTTGACGCAAAACCATTTTTAATATTTTTAAATTCAACTCCATTGTACAGCAAAAATAAAGTTAGTATGAAGAAGGTATTAAAGGCTAAAGTGAGTATACGTGGTAGAGCCTTGCTGCAGCTATATTATGGCTATAGAATGGGTTGGTACGACCGGGGAAGGACAACGCTCTCACACAATACCAGCTTAAAATAGCAGCTTAATGCTGCTGTGTTTCGTATGGTGAGTGTAGAGAACCGTAGACCCTTTTTACTGGATATGAGGCATACCATTTTAGTAAAATGCCTCACTGTGCCTTGTGCACTGTGCACACTCACACAATGCCTTATTAGAGAACACATCTGCATATTGATTCTTAATCGATGATAAATGTAGATGTCTATGGGCCACAATATCCACTTACCATCACGTGAACTATGTCTTCGTTTGTCACTCCTATTATATAAAAATAAGTGATAAGATCTCTTTCATGTGATTTTTTTATAGGATAGATATATAGAATAGATAAACGAGCACACAGTCCACCTGATGGTAAGTGGTTGCTGTGGCCCATAAACATCTACATCTATCCTCGATTACGATTCAAAATACAGATGCGTTGTCACCCGTGAGGACTAAGATGGTATGCCTCGTTTCCAGTAAAAAGGGTCTCCGGTCTCTACGCTCATCATACGAAACACAGCAGCATTAAGCTACTATTTGAAGCTGGTATTCTGTGAGAGCGTGATCCTTACCCGGTCGAGCCAACCAATTCGTGCTACAACTATACTACTAATACAACTGCAGCATGACTGTACCACGTATAATATCATATCATGAATAGATCTTCAATTTTTATTTCAGACAATTTATCACATTGCACATAGTTTTGAAATAATAGCAAAAAATTGAGTAGAATGTTTCAAATATTAGAGATACTCACTAGAAGGTCGCTATTAGAACTTAAAAAAAAACTTTTAAATCTAAGTTGTTTTTTGGTAAGGTTCTAAACAGACGACGCTGCGGCTAAAAGCTAGTGTCAATTTTCATCTCTTGTAATTGTCTTTTGGCAAACTCGCGATCAATTGTTGTTGAAAATAACAAGGCATATTGTGTCAGTTATGCCTTATAATATCATAATAATGCGACATACAGTATTAATAACCATTCAAAGAAACTCAATAGAAATAAAGGAAAGAAACATTATCCTTAACTGACAAACTTGCAGTGCTAATGTAATAAAAGCTATGTTCGATATTAGACCAAAAATGTTTGCAATCATTGCTTTCGAATATTAAAAATATTTTATTGCTTCCTCTAATTAACACTTCTAAATACATCATACACACACATACATCAGTTTATTTCAAGTTATTTATATTTGCTTACGTGATTTCAAGTTTCATAATTTACCACTAATAGATTTTTGAATCAATACATATCTGATAGAGTTCATAAATTGTGTTCATGTTATTTTTTCGATATTTTCCGTTTTTGAAAAGTACATTTGGTGTTAGATTACATAGTTGATTAAGATTTCCTAATTAATGCTATTTTACATCGTTCCAAATTTAAATTTCTACGAAGTTAACAATCTTTAGGTATTTATTTAGAAATATACACTTAATATACAGTTATAAGTTAACATCATGCAATTTGTCATTTTTAGGAGTTTTGCATTAAATTGTTTTACATAATAATATTGCTAAGTAAGAGTATTTAAAATTGTTTCGTAGAAAATTAAAAATTGAAGCAGACTTCACACACATCTTTATATCTTGCCCACTACCAGAAACAGATAATAGACAAATCAACCAGTTCTCTAAAGTCCCAACCACAGAAATCGTAATAATACAATAGAATAAATATATATAATAAATAAGACAATAGTAGTCGCGTGACCTTGTCACCGCTATCATGTGTTGACGAACATAATTCACCATTTTGTGATTTAGTTGCGCGGGGAACGTCGTACATGAATTTATGTTACTTATTATAAATTTATAATGGTGAACTGCAGCATAATCAGTTGTAAAAACTTATCAAGGACATGTAATTCAACTAATAAAGGCATAACATTTCATTGGTAAGTTGATAATTTACTAATTATCATTGTTTAACTAATTTACTATCTAGATGAATACTTGATATTTACCTTTTTAAACTTAATTGTACAATTACCATTGCTGCTTTTGTTCTACGTCGACAAACTCGCCAAGCAATGTAATGTGAAACATTAGATATCATTGTGCGTATATTTATAATACGGTAAGATGTGGCGACATCGCTTTTGGAAGTAATCGAGCGCTAATTCATTTCTATTGTATTTGGTCCCAACAGTTGATATGGATCCAAATGATCAGTTTGTAACAGTTAAATGGACAAAACAACAAAAACCATATTGGTAATTATTCATAATTCTAACCATATCCTAATTAAACTTCCTATAGTAAAGTATTAAGTGGTTTATTTGGAAAATTTACATGCACTGGTTTATCATTAGCACTGCAAAACACTAGTGCTGAAAAAGCTAAACAAAACAGAAAATGTAATGTATATTGAAGTACTCTTAGAACATTCACTTAAATGGATGTTATATATTACTCATCTTTAATCCGTAGTGACAATAATAATTGTAATAAGTTTAATTTCAATTATTAAACTCTTGGTAATGAATGGCATTATTGCGATCGTGTGTGATGCGCCATGATTATGATGTAAGGAAAGAGTTGAATGTATTGAGAAACTGTGCAATTGCGTGTGACTTTTGCCTGCTTTATCATCAAGTCACAATAGGCTTTTATAGACCATTAATTAATTTGACATAAATAAAACCAAAGTGAATTAATTTTACGGCATTTAAATAGTCTTTACAAAAAAAAAACACATAGCTTATGTAATATGGCTAATCATGTAGTGTGAATGTATATTTTTGTTAAAAAAATGTATAAATGTCTTGAGTGTAAACTTAAGATTATTTTTGTAGTTATCTGGTTCTTTTTTCATAACATTCTATCATAATGCAAATTGAAAAAATATGTTTATTTGATCTCATATATTTTAAAATATGTACATAATCTCATATTGCATTATGTATGCTACATCATTTGTAAGTTTTACAATATTTTTTTTGCCCATTCAGTATTATTAGCATTTCATCTGTACTGGAAGGGAAAATGATTTCTTTTTCTATTTACCCCAGCTAGTAGTGGTATAATAATATTATGTTGTCCTACTGTTGTGACATCTCATGAAATATGAACAGCAATATTGCTAATTGTTGTATGCTACAAGTGATTATTATGGGAGTAAAAAAATAATTGGTTTTATCTTTTTAGTCTTTATTTTTGTTTGAGATCACTTTATTCATATTGTTTAATATACTCATTTTTGAGCCTTTGCCTAAATGTGCAATTAGAATGTGAAAGCTTTTGTGACTAGCGCGGAAAAGTGGAAAAAATAATCAATTCATCCCTACCAGTTGACTGGATTGTAATACCATAGAATGGGCAAAATTTCGTATTATAATTAATTTGACATTTTTGTGTAACCATTCAATAATAAAAAATGGACCAAAATTTGTAAGGGTCATGAAGTATTAAACATGATTGTTAGGCTGAATTTTATCAAAGATAATTTTAAATACGCGGGACTGGACGAGAAGATAAAAAGATAGACTGATTTTTTAAAACATACTCATACTTTGATACAGGTATCTTGACAAATATTGAATTTTAAGTATAATCAGTATACAGTTGCTGTCTATTTATCTAATTATATAATTGTTAGTACAAACTCACATATGAAATCATATTTCCAGAAATTTGTTACAATAAAAACTCAAGCATTTGGGATGACATTTTGTACAAAAAAGAAACTATTGATTATTTATGTACTTGAAATTTGCTAAACACCTGTGGCTACCCTTTGATGTCAAGTATCTGTATCGGGTATTACGGACACACACGGTGTTTGGTTAATGTTATGTTTGTTTAAAAAAGAATGGACCATGCCAATTGGATCTCTCATTTTGGCCAAAATGCATTTTAATCATCGAGACTGATACTATAAAAAGTTGAGAACGTAGTTAGATCTGCTTCATTATTTTGTATGGTTTTGTAAAATTTGACGGCAAATATATATTTTTGACGGCTCACCTTTGGAG